ATTTTCACGACAAAATGTCGCGAATTTAAAGCTTTGAAAATTGTCGTCACGCGCAAAATCCCCCATGGGAATTTTCAAAAGTTGGCATGTATGCAGGGTGCTTCCACAAAAGTTTCAGCTTTTCTACCCCAGTGGTTCTTGAGAAGAAGATTTTTAAGAATTTTTCCTATATATTTTAACGTAAAAATTGGATTCCCTATTGTAGCCCTGCCCTACCCCCGGGGGTCGTGATTTGAACAATTTAGAATCTACACTACCCCAGGATGCTTCCATATAAGTTTCAGCTTTTCTGGCCCCATGGATCTTGAAAAGAAGATTTTGAACAATTTAGAATCTACACTACACCACGATACTCAGGATTCACCAGGATAAACATAAGTTTCAGCTTTTCTGGCCCAGTGGTTCTTGAGAAGAAGATTTTTAAGAATTTTTCCTATACATGTATATATAAACGTAAAAATTGGATTCCCTATTGTAGCCCTGTCCTATTCCAGGGGGTCATGATTTGAGCAATTTAGAATCTACACTACCCCAGGATGCTTCCACATAAGTTTCAGCTTTTCTGGCCCTGTGGATCTTGAAAAGAAGATTTTTAAAGATTTTTTCTACATATTTCAATGTAAAACTTGGATTCCCTAATGTTCTAAGAAGAAGACTGTTAAGAATTTTTCCTAAATATTTTAACGTAAAAATTGAGTTTCAGCTTTTCTGGCCCAGTTGTTCTTGAGAAGAAGATTTTTAAGTATTTTTATGCCCCCGGATTGAAAGATCCCGGGGGTGTATTGTTTTTGTCTTGTCTGTCTGTTTGTCTGTTTATCTGTTTGTTTGTTTGTCTGTTTGTCCGTCTGTCTGTCTGTCTATTGTCAACTTTAACCTTTTGATTGGTTGGAGCTATGACTTTCATATTTCACATGTGTATTCCTTGTGACAAGACCTTTCTTTGGGTACCATCATATTTGACCTTTTGACCTTGACCTTGGAGTTTGACCCACTTTTGCAAAATTTTATGAGACTTTAACCTTGGCCATAACATTTGAACAGTTGGTGCTTAGGGTTTCAAACTTCACATGTGTATTCCTTGTGACAAGACCTTCCTCTGGATATCAACCACTTTGACCCTTTTGACCTTGACCTAGGAGTTTGACCAACTTTTGAAAAACTTTAACCTTGGCCATAACTTTTGAATGGTTGGAGCTAGGGCTTTCATACTTCACATATGTAATCCTTGTGACAAGACCTTCCTTTGAATACCAACCACTTTGACCCTTTGACCTTGACCTAGGAGATTGACCTACTTTTGAAAAACTTTAACCTTGGCCATAACTTTTCAATGGTTGGTGCTAGGGCTTTCATACTTCACATATGTAATCCTTGTGACAAGATCTTCCTTTGGATACCAACCACTTTGACCTTGACCTTGACGTTTGACTTTTATTTAAAAAACTTTTACCTTCGCCATAACTTTTGAACAGTTGTATCTAGATCTTTCAAATTTCACAGGTGTTTTCCTCGAGACAAGATCTTTCTTTGGGCATCAACATTTTTTATCTTTTGGCCTGGATTTTCACTTGCATTTGAGAAACTTTAACCTTCGACATAAGCTGCCATACGGGGGCATCAGTGTTTCACAAACTCCCGGGGGTCATGATTTGAACAATTTAGAATCTACACTACCCCAGGATGCTTCCACATAAATTTCAGCTTTTCTGGCCCAGTGGATCTTGAGAAGAAGATTTTTAAAGATTTTTTCTACATAATTCACTGTAAAACTTGGATTCCCTATTGTGGCCCCGCCCTACCTCCGGGAGTCATGATTTGTACAATTTAGAATCTACACTACTCCAGGATGCTTCTACATAAGTTTCAGCTTTTCTGGCCCAGTGGATCTTGAAAAGAAGATTTTTAAAGATTTTTTCTACATAATTCAATGTAAAACTTGGATTCCCTATTGTGGCCCCGCCCTACCCCTGGGGGTCATGATTTGAACAATTTAGAATCTACACTACCCCAGGATGCCTACACATATGTTTCAGCTTTTCTGGCCCAGTCGTTCTTGAGAAGAAGATTTTTTAATGACCCCACCCTATTTTTGTCTTTTCTTGATTATCTCCTCTTGGAAGGGGGCTTGGCCCTTCATTTTTATAATTTAAACTCCTCTTCACCCAAGGATGCTTTGTACAAAGTTTAATTAAAATTGGCCCACTGGTTCTTGAGAAGAAGTTGAAAATGTGAAAAGTTTACAGACGGACGGACAACGGGTGATCTGAAAAGCTCACTTGAGCTTTCAGCTCAGGTGAGCTAAAAAATATTTGGAAAATTTTCTTTAAAACTGAGTTAAACACAAATTTGAAACAAGAGGTCCATGGGCCACAATGCTCACCTGAGTCAATATGGCCATGCTGTTCTTCATCAGCAGATTTCTTCTCCTACATATTCATATGTAAAGCTTTGATTGCCTGTTCTAACCACACCCTTCCCTCAGGTGCCATGTTTTGAATGAAACTGAATCTAAACTATCTGAGGATGCTTCTATATTCATATGACTAATTATGGCTTTGTTGTTCTTGAAAACAGAATTTTAAAGATTTCTGCCACCCTACCCTTCCGGGGGGTGGGGGGGGGGGTTCATGAATTGAACAAACTTAGCTTGAATCTACTCTACCTGGGGATGCTTCAGTATCAATATGACTACTCATGGCTGTGTTGTTCTCGAGAAGAAGATTTTTAAGGATATATTTCCTATATGTTCATTTGTAAAAATTTGATCCCCCATTATGGCCCCAACCTCTTACTGGAGGATGACTTCAAACTTGAATCTACAATACTTGGGGATGCTTCCATATCAATATGACTAGTCATGGCTTTGTTGTTCTTGAAAAGTTTTTAAAATATTTTTTTCCTATATATTCCTATGTAAAACTTCCATCTTTCATTGTGGCCCCATCCTACCCCCAGGGGTCATGATTTGAAAAAACTTGAATCTACACTACCTGAAGATGCCTCTATATCAATATGTGTTGTTCTTGAAAAGATGATTTTTAAAGGTTTTTCCCATATATTCCTATGTAAAACTTTGATCCCCCCAGGGCTCAAAATAATTGATGGCCCGCTGGTCTGGGACCAGGGAATTTTTAGTCTGGGCTAGTACATTGTAGAGGGCATGTGCCCTTTGGGCCAGTGTTTTTTTTTATGCATAACAAAATTCATTTACAGTCGGCTAGTTAACTTGACAGAGTTGTCCATCTAAGTTCTGTCGTTTCTTGTTTTGTTAAGTTGTACTATTAAGTAACAAAGTATAAACAAAATATTACTATTATCATTATGGTTTTGGGTGAGTCTTTTTAAATTCTTTTGGCCTAGTGGGACAGTGAAAGTACTTAGTTGACCGGTAAAAATTTAAGGTGGTAGCCCAAGTGACCAGTGAAAAAAAATAATTATTTCTAGCCCTGTCCCCCATTGTGGCCCCACCCTACCCCGGGGGTCATGATTTGAACAAACTTCAATCTACACAACCTGAGGATGATTCCATATGAATATGACTAATTGTGGCTTTGTTGTTCTTGAGAAGAAGATTTTTAATAATTTTTTCCTATATATTCCTATGTAAAATTTTGATCCCGTATTGTGGCCCCACCCTATCCCCAGGGGTCATCATTTGAACAAACTTGATTCTTCACTACGTGAGGATGATTCCATATCAACATGACTTATTGTGGCTTTTTTGTTCTTGAAAAGAAGATTTTTTAAAGACTTTTCCTATATATTCCTATGTAAAAATTTAATGCCCCATTGTGGCCCCACCCTACCCAAGAGGGTCACGATTTGAACAAACTTAAATCTACTCTACCTGAGGATGCTTCCACATAATTAGGACTAATGATGGCTTTCTTATTTATATGAGAAGATTTTTAAAGATTTTTCCTATATATTCCTATGTAAAACTTTGATTCCCGATTGTGGCCTAACCCTACCCCAGGGGTCATCATTTGAAGAAACTTGAATTTACACTATCTGAGGATGAATCCATATCAATTTGACTAATCGTGGCTTTGTTGTTCTTTAGAAGAAGATTTTTAAAGATTTTTTCTATTTATTCCTATGTTAAACTTTGATCCCTCATTGTGGCCCCACCCTACCCCCAGGGGTTATCATTTGAACAAACTTGAATCTACACTATCTGAGGATGCTTCCATATCAATATGACTAATCATGGATTTATTGTTCTTGAGAAGAAGATTTTGAAAAGTTTTTTTTCCTATATATTCCTATATAAAACTTTGATCCACCATTGCGGCCCCACACTTCCCCCGGGGGTCATTATTTAAAGATATTTGAATCTACACTACGTAATGAAGGTTTCACTTAAGTTTCAACTTTTCTGGCCCAATGGTTCTTGAGAACAAGATTTTTAAAAGATGACACCAAATTTTCACCAATTCTTAATTTTCTCCCCTTGAAAGAGGGTGTGACCCTTCATTTGAACACACTTGAATCCCCTTTGCCAAAGGATGCTATGTGGCAAGTTTGGTTGAAATTGGCCAAGCTGTTCGTGAGAAGAAGTTGGAAATGTTAAAAGTCTACAGACAGACGGATGCCGGACAAAATTTGATCAGAAAAGCTCAATTGAGCTTTCAGCTCAGGTGAGCTAAAAAGTGACGTCAAGATCAAAGGAAAGGTCAAGGTCAAAAAATGTTGATGCACTTGAATAGTTCTTCATAATATGTATCAGCATATGAAGTTTGATGAAATATCTTGAGAAAAGTGAGGTCAAGGTAAATTGACAGTCCAAGGTCAAAAATGTTGATGCCATTGAATAACTCTCACCAATATAAACATATAAAGTTTGATAAAAATATCTTGAATACCTTCTTTGAATTTTAGCCAAACACAAATTTGAGGTCAAGCTCACCTGAGCCAAAAACTTAAGTGGGCGTTTCTATTGGAAAAGTGGTCTGCGTCTATCATTTGTCCTATGAATATGTATCAGAAATTATTTTTACCTTTTAAAACTCCATTTTTCACAATGAAGAGATGTTGATGGACTTCCAGTCCCCTTGTGGACTCTGTAACTTCACCAACATTTTGACGTTGCCCTCTTAATCGCTTCAGCAGTGTTGTTTTTCCAGCCTCAGCACATCCAACAAGTATTCCTCTGGCATGGGAAACAGTTGTCTTCTCCTTCCTCAGAAACTTCTTCAACTCATCAACTTTATCTAAATCATCACTGCCTGGATCTAAACAAAAACATGTTCTTAGAATAATCATCAGAACACATGGCTTTGCATTAAGCAGAATTTGAAATTTTGTTTTAATGCACTATGTAGGCATTTCAGAAAAAAATGCTATTCTGTTATTTTCAAATCTTATCTTTTTAAATCAGATCCAAAATATTATCTGGTTATCTTTGTTGCTTTGGTCTTATGATTTACCTCATGGGCTAAGAACAAGTATGAAATTAAACATTCATTTCAATTTCATTTTAACATGATTGTGAAATATTGCAGAGTCAAACAAAATAGATCATTCAGTGTACATTTTTGGTATTTCAAAGTAAATCATATACAGTACCAATTTTGATGCACCAGATATATTTATTTCTTTTGTAAAGAATAAGAAATTCCGGTGTCTAGATGTCGACAAACATAGAAAATACGGGTGCGTCTTTTTACCACAAGGAACCACAAGGTACCACAAGGAACCACAAGGATACCACAAGGAACCACAAGGAACCCCAGGGATACCACAAGGTACCCCAGGGATACCATATACAACCTTAATTATTCTAAATATAGTTTATATGCACTTGTAAACTACAAAAAAAGGTTTTGAAGGGCAAATTAACACTTTGATTGTCCTTAAACAGAGCAGTTATCCAAGATAAAAATTTAAAAGTAGTATACTTAAACAATTAAGCTCAATTATGCATGTATAGTTTAGAGGAACTTTAATAATATTTTATAAGGTGTAAAAAAATAATCCTGTAACTATGAATGGTGTATTTCAATACACAGAACCAATGGAAACTCACATAAACCCAAAGAATACCATAGGCTTAAGGTACCACAAGAATACCCAAGGGTACCCTAGGAATATCTCAGTGACACCCTATTTAACTTTTAAAAATGTACATGTAAATATGGTTTATATTTGCATTTGTAAATGACATAGTAACTGATTATTGTATTTGTATATAGTGCAATACACAAAACAAAATGATACCCACATAAGAACAAAAGGATAGCCTTCAGTTACCACAAGGACATCCCAGAGTAACCCCAAAAATATCTCAAAATATCCCAAGGACATCCAGTTTGACCTTTATAAATCTAAAAATGGTTTTAATGCTTTTGTAAATAACTTAGTAACTGTTTATTACATATTTTCATACACAAAAGGATACTAAGAACCCCAATTAAGGAAACTCTAGGTATCCAAATAATACCCTTAAGTATCCCAATAAATTTGAGCTATTTCAGTGACATCCAATTCAGCTTTAATAAATGAAAATAAGGTTTTTGTGCATTTCTTAAAATTTTACATTGATCATTATCTGTTTATTGCTTAATTCAATACTCAAAATTAGAGGATTCAAAGGACGTACCCCAAGCATACACCATTGACACCTCATTCAAAATTAATAAATGTCATATTCATTTGTTAGTTAGATATTAAGTCTTTCTGAGGTTTATTTGCATTCACTGTGTACAAGTGAAAGATCATACAGTGTATTATGGTCATCTACCCCAAAATTTCAGCCAATCTGATTGATTAGAATTTTTCACTCATGATTTCAGACAAATTGTCATTTTTTCTGTGTTACCTGCTATATTAATGAACAAGTATATAATTTGTTATTATTAAATGTTATTATTAACCTGAATAAAGAAAATACAACAGTAAATCGTCGTAAAAGTTTTGCAGTATGATGACTATAACTTACAAAACTTTATGCATAAAAAAAATATAACTCATACATGAAGGGGTCATAAAACCTAAATAAACAAATTTAATACAATAGGATAATTTCTGTCAAAGTACCACTATACACCAGAATATCTGTATTATTGTACCCAGCCCAAGTAGCCTTTCGGTGACTTAACTTGCATGGATGATGCATCTAAGGATGTATACTACCACACTTGCTTCAGATGCTGGATCTGACCTATATTTTTTTGGTTGAGAGACCAGAATTTTTTCTTTTTCTTTTTTTTTTTAGTGCAGGTTTCATTCTAGCTGAAGTAACTGTAAGCCCCCTGTGGTGACCAATCTTGCATGAATGATGCCTCAAGGAATGTACACATGCAGATCTATATGGTTTGGTTGCTGAATCTTAGTACATTTTTCTGTATGATTGAACAGTATGATTTAACAAAAAAAAAAAGATGTGGATCAAGCCCATGCCTATATATTACATGTAGTATGTACCTTTTAAAACATCCTACAGGGGCGCGGATCTAGAAATTTTTCAAAGAGGGGGGGGGGGGGGTGAAGAGGAAAAAGGATTGTTATAACATACATATACATACAGTTATAGTTTAACAACTTAATAGGATACACGGATGTAGAAGCGTTTTCAAAAGTAAGGGTGAGGGCAGCCAGGGAAAAAATATGGATTTCATGAAAATTTTTGTTAAAAAAAAAAAGTAAAGGAAAAAAAAACTCCGAACCCAAAAATCCTAATTTGTAGGGGGGGAAGTGGGGGCATTTTCTTTCAACAACCAAATTTATTCATACATTACTACGGTACATTAGCCTTTCACTGAACAATTTCTATCGTAAAAACACAACAAAAAATTGGGTCTCCCCCTCTCCCTCTCTCTCTATCTATGTGTCTCTTATTAGCAAATCCAAAAGGGGTGGGGGGGGTTGCAAATCCCTGTATCTCCCCCCCCCCAGGATCGGCCACTGCTACACGGACCAAACGTTGAAATCTTGCACTAATTACTACCCCAATATTTATAAAGGTTAGACTTTGTTGTACTTATAAATAACATTTAGTTGACTTGTACATCAAGATGACCTACGTAATATCTTTGATTTAATACTTATGTTTTGATAGTTTCTCAAGTACATGTACATGCCAGTTTTGCTGCATTTGATAAATATTTAACTTAAAATTTTTAATAAGTTTTGTTTGATTCATTGCATCAATCTTAATACTATAAATATTTTGGCACATAATTACAGGTACATGTACCGGTAATGTTTTAATTCGGATCTTTATAAATTCATTAATACTTTTCAAAAAAATATCAAAATCTATTCTCATGCAAGTTTATTACAATTTACAAATTCAGTACAACTGATTAATTTTCTCTTATAGGAATAGTAAATAGCTATATGGCTACCCTGGTACTTGTCTCAATCTATGTACTGGTTAGATTAAAAACTTTTTATATACATGTATTAAATTTTTAGGTCACAAAGAAGAGGATCCACATTCACTTTAAATTTTCTTTGCAAAATCACAACCTGGATTTTTAATAAAATTATTTTTTGAAAAAATGCATACAATTTTTGAACTCTGAGAAACACAAAAAGAAATAATTTAGACTGTAACATTATCATTATAAAGTGAGATCTGTTAAGTTCTCCACAAACCATAAAGTTTGGTGTTTCTTTTTAAATGTTTTTAATTAGCTCAAAATGGGTTTTGAATTTATTTGAGGTAATCAATTTCCAGTCAATTGAGTTTAATATTAATATGTGATAATTAACCCTTGGCCAACTTTTTCAAACATGTTTTAATTTATGCTATGTATTAATTTTACCAATGGCAGGTGCCATTTATGATTTATTGATGCAGGAAAGAATGGGTTATATATGATTTTTTTAACATGTTACATTCAAAATTATTGCCCATCTTTAGCAGCATGATCTGTAGAAATGTTGAAAGTACCGGTGTAGTAGAATTTTGGGGAAAAAATGGGTCAGCTTCAGGTATTTTTGTAAAAAATATTTAATTTATTTAATTAACAGTATCCAGCTAAATACAGTGACACAATTTAATGTTTACACTAATGTATGTAAATGGTACAAGAAAAATTATACATGTATAAGTTTATCAATAATCATTACATTATTAAATACCAGGTATATTTTTTCACTAACCATGCAGATTTACTTTTGTTTATATACCTAAGGTATGGTGTAACCAGTCTTGTGTACCTTGTGTATACACAAGTTAATCACTGAAAACTGTTGATTATTCCTATTAATTATCACTGTTGATTACCTGAAATGGTGGATCTATACATGCAAACAAGGCACCATATACACAAGAGTCTCGTTCTCAATATGTCACTGAAATACATGCTTGCTATTTTTCATACTTCTTTATTAGTAAATGGATATTTACTTTTCTATTAACTGGAAAATAAATAATATATTCTGTACTATCTATATAGACATCCATACAATTAAAGTATTAATTTCATAATACATGTTTCAATCTTTATGGAGAAATTTAATAAGTTTGAATTCATTTCCATAACAAAACTCAATGTTTGACATCCTTTTTAAATAATTGTTTTTAAATTTGAAATTATTAAGGAATTAACTCTATGAAAACACTGCATGAAGAAAATAATTTTGTTGAGAAAAGTTCTTGTGTTTATATAAATGTAAATTAACAAAAATTATTGTTGTTTACTTCATTATTGGATATGGGTGAATTAAAAAATATTGACTAAAATTTGAAATTTTAGAGAAAATTAAGTTTGTTTTTAAATTAATTAACATATATATATATTTACAAGATCAGATAATGTATAAATATTCTAGTTATTTTTTTTTTAAGGGTCAATACGAATACACAAATCCATAGAAAAGTTTCAGAATTTTTATTTACAGAATTTATTAAAAAAATAACAATTTTTAAAATTATGAAAATAAAACACGCCTCCACCAAAAATATATTTGACCATGTGCACAGCATAACTTAAACCCATGTGGAACGTTAATTTAAAAAAAAGTGTTACAATTAATTCCCAATAAATTACTTTGAATTAAATTTATATGATCTTCTGATTCCAATCTGCTTTTTTCATAAAGTTATTCAATTAAATTTGAAAATGTATTAAATTTTCAAATACAGAAAAAAATATTTACCTACCTACCTACCCAACTTGAAATTTTAGGGTCAGGTGAGGGGAAACAGAAATATCTTTAATATTAATGGTCTAATTTTTTTTTTTAAATACAAGATTTTGAAGGGATCCTCTTTAACCTTATTTTGTTGCACTCTTGACTTCTGATGTTTATTAAAAAACATCATCTTAAATTCATAATGCAATCATTTTAAATTTTGTAAAGCAGTTCATTGTTTGAAAATTGGAAAACATTTTATTTTTTAAATACCCAGGGGCAAAGATGGTTTTGAAAGAAATAATTTTGAAAAAGGCATTGTTGCTCAACACAACTATAAGCATTTTATTTTGCTTCATACCCAGGAGCAGAAAGATTTTCAAAGATTTTAATAAATGCTTAACAATATGTATCACATACCAATAGATCCACAACCTAACACCAGAACCCCTAGCTGACCCAGGGGCCACCACACCATGCATTTAATATGTTTGCTGAATTAAATATCGTAGAGTAGAGAATAATGCTTTTCATCATATTTACCCTAAAACTCTGACCCTTGGGCCATGAATATCACAAATGATAGAGGGCTCAATGCCTATTACAATCATGTCAACAGTTTGATTTCCAGGAGTCCCACCCCTCAAGCCCAGAAAGGGGGAAGGGTTAGGCACCATGAAATTCAAAATTCATGTTTCCCTTTAACCATAGATGCTATATGCCAAAATTGGTTAAAATTGGATCAGCAGTTCAAGCAAAAGTCGAACAGTTTTTCGGACCCTCTCGTCTGCACCTTTGGTAAATGCTCCAAAGTCCTAACATATAACCGGATTTGAATAAATTGAATCTACACTCCCTGAGGATGCTTCCATATAAATATGACCAATCATAGCTTTGCTGTTCTTGAGAAGAAGATTTTTAAAGATTTTCCCTATAAATTCCTATGTAAGACTTTTATCGTCTATTATTGTGATTCAGTCCTACCCCTCAGGGGTCATATATGATTTGATCAAATTTGAATCTACACAACCAGAGGATACTTCCATTTAAATATGACCAATCATTCCTATGTAGAATTTTGATTGTCCATTGTGGTCCTGCCCTACCCCGGATATCTTGATTTGAAAAAAAACTTGAATCTATTCTACCTGAGGATATTTTCATATTTTAGTTTCATTTTTTGCTGACCCAGTTTTGGTTCATGAGAAGATTTTTAAGAGATGCCATTAATTTTTCACTAATTTTTAATTTATCTCCCCTTGGAAGAGGGCGTGGTACTTCATTTGAACAAATTTGAATCCCTTTCACCCAAGAATACCTTGTGGTAAGTTTGGTTGAAATTGGCCCAGTTGTTTTTGAGAAGAAATCAAAAGTGTGAAAAGTTTACAGATAGATGGACAGCTGGATGGACAGGTGCACGCTGGACAATATGTGATCAGAAATAATAAACAGTTAATTAGCAAATGCATTTAAACTATGATTAGATTTTTTAAAAGTTTAATTAAGTGTCATTAAAGTGTCATTTTGATATTCTGTACGTACATTGGTCTATCCTAGTGGTACAGGGGACATGACATTAGGGTTCTTATTGGGTATTGACTGATGGTTTGTGTATTGAAATGAACAATAAACCATTAACTTTTTATACATCATAAAAATACAATCTCTCCCTCTGAACTATGCATGCATAATTTAGCTGAAATTAGTGAATTTAATTTAGATATTACCTTCAGTTGGTTTAATAGCGCCATACTGAACCTATTTAAGACAATTAAAGTGTTAATTTGCCCTTCAAATTTTTTTTTTGTAGTTTACAAGTGCATATAAACCATATTTAGAATAATTAAGGTTGTATATGGTGTCCCTGGGGTACCTTGTGGTATCCCTGGGGTTCCTTGTGGTATCCTTGTGGTTCCTTGTGGTTCCTTGTGGTACCTTGTGGTTCCTTGTGGTAAAAAGACGTACCCTAGAAAATACTATTTTTGTAGCAGAAAAAAAGTTATTATTTTTCTACTCATGAAATAAGAAATTTAACTATACGTCATCTAACCAACCTTAAGAAGTTTTAAAAACAATAAACCATTGTCTAAGAACATAAAATGTTTATAACAGCAAGTTATAAAGGTGAGGAGAGAAAACAGTGATTTATGTCATATTTTTTCCCCACTTTTATGGTCGAAGTAGCACGATACCATGGAACTATTCACTGAACATGAGCTCACCCAAAATTGTACACCTTATATTCCATGATTTTAAAAGAAAATTGAAATTATTTTTCTTTTGGTTCTTCAGGAAGTTATTTACTTTTCAACATAATAAAATACGGAACAAAAAGGTTTTTACATTAAAAAAGTACTGAAAGAAAATGATTAAGTAGCATGATAAAGTGAGCCCCCCCCCCCCCCCCCCCCGGGGAAAAAATTTTTTGTGGGAGGGGGGTATAAAATATATATAAATCTTAATTTGGTTTCATTTTTAATCTGCAAATATTCCATGTAATAAACATGTAGAATGTCAACCCAGTACACAGTGTAGATTTACTGAACACCTGCTACAGAAATACACAACATTCCTAGACAGAGCTGTGTTAATATCAATGGTGTCTATATCTAACTGTCAACATTGTACAAAATGTTTGTAGTCAATGTGATGGAATTTTGTTTGAATGGAGTATTGAAAGAACCATATATCAACTACTGATAAGAAGTAGCACCATTGCCCCCTCCAACCCCCTAATTTTCACCCCCCCCCCCACACACACACACATATACACCACACCCATTTTACATCCATTTTTTCCATTTCATGACATTTGTAGAGACCTATTAAGTTAACCTGCAAACCACCCAATGTATCCATTACCTGACATTAACAGAGGAATATAAAATCATGTCAACCCAAACAGAAGACAGAATCAATGAGAGATATTGTACAAATCTTTGACAGTCAGGGAACTGAACACTTTATACAAGATGTAGGACAGAATCTATGTCAAGTCTCCTCAGCACAAAATCAGGAGTAGTTTGTCAAAGACTACAATGTTAACAACTAAACTAAGTATGTATTAAAATAACCCTAACTAAATCTTACGTATATCATCTGAAAATTATATAGTTATAAATTACAACTTATAAATTAATATCCTAATCTTAAAATCATTTCTTGTGAATTAATGCAACAAGTTAGAATTCAATTAACCATGTCATGTAATTACAATTAAAACTATCACTATGAATATTCATTAATGTCTTGTAATTACACATAAAATAATGACTATAATATATTGTACACACTAAACATTGTACAACAAAACATATAATTATACTTGTGTATTACTTACCAGTCAGATTATCCCCTCCATTGATAAGTCTGTATATGTTTACTGTGTTGTTGTTAAATGATCCCACCCAGAGAAGGTTAGTGTTGTCATCATAACTCAGGCCCAATGGTGTGTATATCCCGTGTTCAGCTGTCAGTATCAATGACAGGAATTGTCCGTCTTTATCAATCATCTGTACTGTGTGGGTGTTATCATCACACACCAGGATGTGTGACAGCGCGTCAGTACAGATTCCACGTGGTCGTAGTCGTGATCCTGATGGGTGTCCTGTGTAGGAGAAGCGGTGTTTACCTACACCATCTGTTACCACTACACCACGGTATAAGTCAGACACAATAACATCTCCATTGCGGTTCTCTGTGATGTAGATAGGATCACTATACAGTCCCTGACCTGTGTTGTTGTCGTGCTGTATGGTCTGTATGTGTTGTCCTGTGTTATTGTAACGGTTTACCTGGGCTGTCCTTGTATCATATCTATACATCCCGACCAGCAGGTCTCCAGTGGAGGGGCAGCTGTAGACACACTGTGGTCTCCATGGTGCTGTGTTGTACTTTATTAATGTACTCTGTACTGTGTGATCTGTAGACAGTTTGTTGATGTTACCGTATATGTCTATATAAATTAAATCACCGTCTCTAGTCACTGTGTGTACTCCACTATAACTACTTATATCTGTCAGATGATGTAGTTTATCCCCTGCTGTGTTTGTCAAGATGAGATTGTACACATCACTGATCCAGACCCGGTCTGATGTTACACGGGTAATGTGATGACAATCACTAACACCTGGCACTCTGACAGATTTCTGTAACACTAATCTATACATCATTGACAGCAGACATTTATTTCATCTTTATCCTGTGGTTTTATAACAGAATCCCGTGTAGATTTCCTCAGTCAGGGAGATTTCTCTGTAAATTACAACATTGTGTTAGAATTATCAACATCAATAACAGGGCTCTGTTCATAATGTACTCATTTACTAATGTTTTGGTTTTAAGAATTCATAGAATTGAATAGAATTAACAGATAAACATAGATACATTTACACTGGGTGCTGAATGCTTTGTCTCAATCAATAGCAGCCTTCAAGTGTTCTCAATCAAACCTGTTTCATAAATTAATATTTAAAAATTAAAATAATATCAATTATTAATTACTGGAAAACATTTAAGATTCTTATAGATGATTATATGAATTCATTTAAAACTTGAAATTCTATAACATTGTATTTACAATCCAGTGTGTAAACTTTATAATTCATAAAAGAATAATCATGATTAATACTGCTTTCTTACAAATACTAATTCATAAGTTATAACATTAAAACAGGGTAAGATAGAGATGTTCTACTATAACACTCTATAGATAGGTATGATTACAGTGTGTTTTCACACAGTTATATAAACTAATATAAAGTAACAGAGAAATGTATACCACACTGATTTCTTGTATCTGGTAATTTTTCATCTTGTGTCTGTGTTCTGGGTAGAGAAAACAAAGAAAATTATCATATATCACGTCTATAAAAAAGTTTATACTTGATTTATCTAATTTTATTCAATCATGACAAAATTGTGTATATTTTTTGAAATAACAATTTAAGAGCCATTCTCTGTAATGACTTGAACTTTTATATAGGAGCTGTGGCATGCATCGTCTCAGAATTTCTCCAAACTCTCTATGATAAAAGTCTTTGATACCTTAAACTCAAATCAGGCAAAAATTGGTTGCTACGTGTCATGGTTACCATAGCAACATGTCCTAAAGTTTGAAAAATGGCATTTTTCAACATGTTCAGAGTCCCATAGTTAACGTTTGCAGCAAAGCAAACAAGTGGCAATGACCGTTTTTGAAAGTTGAAGGCATGGTGTCTTAAATGCATGATAAACATGGTTGGTAAATCATCTATAACATACGTTACTATGGAAACAAAGTATTCAAAAGTAATAAATTTGTTCATTTAATTTTATAAAGTCATACACTTAAGAATAAAAACAATTATAGGTTAAAATGCAAGCAAATAATAGAGAAGAGATCCTTGTAACACATACCAAAGACAAAATATGATATTTCTTATAGGTTGGCAATGGTTGCCATGGTTTTAATACCACGAAGGGATTTTAAATTTACTTTCTTAGTGTTTTAATCTTATCCTATATTTTTAAAAAGCATATTTCTATATAACTGATGATCAATTTTTAAAAGCCTTGGTGTGACCCTAATTTTCACATTTCAAAAAATTCAATATCAATTCTTTAAACAGTGCGTTGCTATGGAAATAAGACGATAAAAACATGCATAAAAATCTGAAAAATACTCTGTTTCCTTGGATACGTACCGTTGTATGTAGATTCCCAAAACTTTAATGATTGATATATGTGAACAACTAACCTGACTTTCAATTTTGGCTACCACCCAGTCTCTAGCTGGATGCAAAAAGCTGGCACATAGGGTCTAATATTGACAAAAAATTAACAAAATCGAACATTTTCTCTTCTTGGTAACCATAGCAACAATGTTGTATTTTTCAACAACCTTTATCAATATATGATATTCAACTTTAGTTCTAACAACTTTAGTTCTAAGAGATAAGTACTATTCAAGGTGATTAAAATAATATTTTTCTTGATTAAAAGTTAGTAAATTCCAAAAGCAGCAAAAAAAATCTCACTTTAAACAACTAGTACGTTGTTTCCATGGTTACACTGCAAAGTAACAATTAATCCCAATTTTTCTTATGTTGTCGGTGTTGCAAGGTCCTAAGGATGCATAAGTGCCAGTCAAGAATTTTATTGTTTTTTCTCTAGATAGTAGCATTGACCAAATCATAGCAACAGATTTTGCATGGTGACACTGTGTTACCATGGCAACCATGAAAGTTATTTTTAGAATAATATTGCCAATACCTAATTACATGAGGTCAAATATTTTTCATTGTTTTTCTTACATTTTTGATTGAGTTTGATCATGTAACATCTATCATTTGTGACTATAGAGCGTTTTTCAGCATTTTTCAGCATCTAAAATGTATTCCAAATGTACCCATGGTTACCTCTTACTTAGAGATAAATTCTAAATAGTTTTTTTATAGCATAAGTGGCAACAAGGTGTCATGTTTTTGGGAGAATAGTTTGTTTGTTTTTCTTAGTCTTTATTAAGGCTTAATAAAGATTTAAAGTAGCTGAAAATCTCAATTTTTTCAACTTTTCTGGCTGTAACCATGGCAACCAAGACACATAGGAACGAAATTTTATTTGATATATGTTTCTGGTGTCAAGTTGTAATAATGGGCAAAGTTTCATCAAAATCGGTGACCATGCGTGGCAGAAATTTAAGTGGTTACAGAGAATCACTATTAAATCTTTATAGCTTTAATCTTGATCCATTGTTTGCTTTACCTTGATTAATTTTAGTCATTCTTAAACTAGAACTGTCCCCCCCCCCCCCCCCCCCCCCCCCCCCGCAGGTTTTCAGAGAAGTCACTAATAGTAGTATTTGATGGATCTAAGAGGTGTTCACAATTTGTTCAAACATTTAGATTGAAAATTTACTGGTAATTGCTCATTAAGTTTTTTAATGAATGAAACTAAGGCACAGCCTAATAAAACATCAATACTTATAATAATTTTTTTTTATTACATTGAAAAAATAAATAACAATTTTCAAGTATTTCTCTGTTGGAAAGTATGGATGCATTATTTATCCATTTTTTCTACAGTGACTATAGGTCAAGATTATGACACACCCTCAGATCATAAGCAATCTTTCTGTGAAGTGGAAACTCCCAACATCCCAACATTATTCTCCATTAGAAAGATACAGACCGGACATGAATTATGAACTTTTTCTGTCAGTGACCTTGAACTTGCCCAAATGACCTTGGGTCAAAGTCACGACATACCCTCAGGTCATAAGCAATCTTTGTGTAAAATGGAAACTCATCAAGTTTATCAATAAGAAAGATATGGGCCGGACACAAATTATGAACTTTTTCTTTCAGTGACCTTGAACTTGCCCAAATGACCTTGGGTCAAGGTCATGACACACCATCAGGTCATAAGAAATCTTTCTGTGAAGTGAAAACGTCCAACATCCCAACATTATTCTCCAAAAGAAAGATATAGACCAGACATGAATTATGAACTTTTTTCTGTCAGTGACCTTGAACTTGCCAAAATGACCTTGGGTCAAAGTCATGACACACCCTCAGGTCATAAGCAATCTTTGTGTAAAATGGAAACAATAAGAAAGATATGGACTGGACACAAATTATAAACTTTTTCTTTCAGTGACCTTGAACTTGCCCAAATGACCTTGGGTCAAGATCATGACACACTCTCAGGTCATAAGCAATCTTTGTGTAAAATGGGAGATGTGGACCAGACACGAATTATGAGCTTTTTCTTTCAGTGACCTTGAACTTGCCCAAATGACCTTGGGTAAAGGTCATGACACACCCTTAGGTCATGGACATTCTTTGTGTGAAGTAGTAGATTAATATTCTAATGTTCCTCCGTAAGAAAGATATGGATCGGACACGTTTGCACAGACAAACAGACAGCTGGACAGACGGACGGACAAGGTGATTCCTATATACCCCCTAAACTTCGTTTGCGGGGGGTATAAAAAAACAACTAAATGTACTGAATTCATTTACTTTATAGATTAAGAACTTAAAAACTTTTACATGTGAAGAAAATGTGTAAACCTGCAGAGTGGTGATTTTTGGTCCTCTTAGCAACTGCTCAGCACATTCTGAGAAATCTGTAAAACAAATTCAGAACATTAAGCTGTATACAAGTATATAATGTGTTTGAACTTGTAAACACTGTAGCTATATAGGTGTACATATAATGCTATTGTTGGTTATGTTTTGATCTACAAGACAAGTATCTTAATGCTTTCACAAGGTTCATGTGATATTCCCATGTAAACAATATCACCAAGATCGTAGTCTTATAAACTTCTGAATTGAACTGAAAATATTTCTCTAGAACATGAATGCCTCACCCAATAATACAAATGTATTGAAATATGAAACAAGAGTTTTATATTCCTATGTGAATCTTTGATCTCCTACTTTGGGAACACCCCGCTTCCAGGGGCCATGGTTTGAACAAAATTTAATCTGCACTACATCAGGAAGTATTCATATAAATTTTATCTTCTATTGGCTGTGTGGTTCTTAAAGAGATTACAGGAAGTACAGAGTCCGCATCCCCACTTCTGCAAAATTCTATTTTTTAAATTGCCGATATAAAATTTTCTAAATGTGATCAGGGACTTGCCAAAATGACCTTGCTTTTTAAAATAATATACATTCTCTGCTCTTAACCAAATATGGACATCCAATGTTTCTCTGTTGGAAAATTATGGACGTGACATGAATTTTACACTTTCTCTGCCAGTGACCTTGAACTTGACACAATGACCTTTGGTCAAAACTATTACAGACCTTCAGCTCACAAACAATCTGTGTTGAAGTTTCAACTTCGAATTCTTATCAATTACAGAGTAACGAAGTAAGAATGAACTTCAAGATTTCTTCAAATAGAAAGTTTTGGAACATAAAAAAAATTAAACTTTTTTTGCCAGTGACCTTGAACTTGCCAGACCTCTGGTCAAGATCATGGCATACCCTCAGGTCACAATCTTTGTACCATTATAAGCTTCCAATGAATCTCTCTTACAAATTATAGCCTGGATATGATTGCATAGATAGACAGCTAGTCAGACAGATGGACAAGGTGATTCCTGTGTACCCCGCCCTCAAACATAGTATGCTGGGGGTTTAAAAAACTATTATGAAAAATAGTGCATAACATATTCACAGTATGGCATAAAATTTGTCTTAACTAGATTTACTGTGAG